CAGCGCCACCGCGGGATCCCCGCCTCCGCCGCCGCGGTTCCGAATGACCGGGCCCACCCCCGGCGGAAATGGCCGAGCATATTCGGGTCGGGCGGGAGAAGGGAGGCTAAGGAGGAGCCTGGAGACGTCTGAGGGCTTCCGGAAAGAGCCGAACGTACTCCCGCGGGACTGGAGCATGTAGGTAGGGTGTCCCCGAGATAGTCAACATTTCCGGAAACAGCCGAACGCGATCGGGTCAAATGAGAAATTCGGAGCGTAGCCTGGGTTTAAGGACACCCGAGCGATTCTGGAAATAGCCGAGCGCAATTGGGCCAGACGACTGATCCCGAGACTGGGCTCAGCTAGGCTCGCCTGAGCTTGGAAGTCCCCGAGTGACCCCGGAAATGGCTGAGCACCATCGGGTCAGATGAGTGATCCCGAGGCTGGGTTCGGTTGGGCTCGGCTGAGCTTAGAGACGCCCAGCGATTCGGGAATTGGCCAAGAGCGCTGCAGTAGGACTGGCGAAGAGGCTGAGCCCCGAGACCGCGGAGTTTCGGGAAAGAACCGAGCGTCCACGGTCCCAAATGAGGCCCTAGGAGTTCAGAACCAGAGACGGCCAACCAGCTTCCAGAATTTGCCGAAGAATGGGCTGCTCCAGAGTGGGTGAGGGGGCCCCGAGTTCAGGAAACAGGAGCCGGCGGAGTCGGGACGAAGCTACTACAGAGAACTGTGATCTGAGGAGCCCGGGTTTGAAGGCGTTTCCATGGCAACCCAGGGCGTCTGGAAGCAGCTGAACCTACTCCGACCCAGCTAGCGCGAGAACACGCCCAACACCAGACCAAATGCAGACAACTGTTTTCTGCAAGTGGCCGAGGACACTCGGAAACGGGGGCGTGGCCAAAGGTTTCTGACCCCGAGTAGAGCTCAGTAAGTAACCGACGCATTTGGCAGAGCTGGGTTTGGGTGGAGATGGGGTCATTTCAGGACACAGCCCAAGCAAGTATAAAAAGGACACAGAGCCCTAGCTGGTTTGGCTCAGTGAATAGAGCGTTGGCCTGCGACTTGAAGGGCCCCGGATTTGACTGCAGTCAAGGGCACATGCCCCCCGTTGCTGGCTGCATCTCCAGTGTGGCCCGCATGAGGCAGCCAATCAATGGTTCTCTCTCATCATTGATGTTTCTCTCTCTCCCTTCCTCTCTGAAATCAATAAAAAAAAATTTTTTTAAAAGGATGCAGAAATGGTTTATTTATTAACAGAGCTCAGGGCCCCGGACGGGTGTCTGAATGAAACTTTTAAGGGCAGAGCGCAGGATGGATACTCACAGGGAGAGGGCAGCAGGCGGCCAGGACCAGAGGCGCCATCAGAGAGAATCTCAGCGAACTCCTACACAGCATTCAAAACCCACTTTAAATGACTTTGAGCCCAGGGTCTGTTTTCACCCCGCCTCCACCCCACTCTTTCCTTACTCATTTTTGGCCCCAGGTCACAAATTCAGACATTGGACCTCCTCTTTGTCAATGTGGGTTTTATTCACTGTCAGCTCCATGATGGAAGAAAGAAGCAAGTCATGCACAGCCTCGGTCTAGCTCCAACACTTAGGCAGTGCTGGGGAGGGCGGGAGGATGCCGAGCAGGCTGCAGATGTGGGGAGAATGCCTGAAGCCATGTGGGGCGCAGCGACCTTGCCAGCCACCTCCCAATGGGAAACAGGCTCCGAGATGCCCCCATGGGTCACACAGCAACATGGGCTGGCTGGAGCCAGCTGTATCTGACATCAGACCGCACTCAGGCTCCCTTGCTGACAAGGCCCACAGCAGGGCCTGGCTGCATGACTCTCACCAAGCAGTTGTGGGACAAGTCTCTGCCCCTCATCAGGCCTCGGTTGTTTGTCTGTAAATGGGGGTGATGACACCAGCTCCAGCCTTCCCAAGGCTGGCTGAGGGACAAGACATGAGTAAAAGACCTTGGCACATAGTAGGTGCTTAATAAAGTTACTGGGATTAGTTTTGTAAACACGAGGAAACTCAGGCACAGAGTGGAGCAATCATTTTCCCAGAGCCAAACAGTGAAGCCAAGGTTCAAACTCAGACTTCACTACCCCCCGTTTGGGTTTTCGACTCAGTTTCATCCCAGGGAGGCTCTGACACATTGAGGGAACCGTCAGAGGGTGTTTCAGACACAGCATGTTCTTGTGCTCACCTCGACCGGCATCGAACATGTGAAATCTTGTCCAGGGTGGACATTCTTCTGCCCTGGCAGTGCCCTTTGAGGCCTCCGCCTCCTGGGGCATTAGTGTCCCCCAGTGGAGTGGATGACCCCTCTGCCTAGATGTGGTGAACTCCTATTCATCCATTAAAGCCTCAGTTCCCACATCCCCTAAGCCCAAAGGACTAGAGGCAGACTCTAGCCAGGCTGGTCTACACATGGAGGCTGTGATGGTGGGAAGCAGTCTTCAGCATCCAGATCATCATGGGGATGACTCTGTTTTGTGGTGGAGGGGAATCAATTAGACTCTCCAAGTCACATCCAAGTTGGGCCCAAACAAGCATCCCCATCGGTGAGTCTTGGGTCAGGGATGGGATCAAGTAAAACACAAAAAAACTTTAAAAACAAACAAAAAGATGTTAAAAATACAGAAAAACGAGAAAACACACACGTGTGACTTGTCCAAAGTGCTTCCTTCAGAGCCCCAGAGGCAGGGCCTGCAAATAGGGTCCCAGATGCCAGGGGTGGCAGCCTGGCAGCTCCGTCTGGCTTCCGGTGACAGAAAGCAACACATTAGGTTTGCTCTCCCCCCCAGGAGCACGCCTGCCCCTTTCCCTCCTCTTCTTCCCCCAAACAAGTTACCTTTACCTTTCTCTCCCAAAGGCCCTACTTTTGCCCCTGTAACTTGTTCCCTGAGCCCCTTTCTTTCAAGGACCTTTCTTTTGCCTCTAACTTTCTGAACCAACTTTCTCTTATACTTAAAAAAAAAAAAAGTAATAAATTACTCACAGGGATTTGCTGCTATTTACAGTGCCACCCTTGTCTCCCATTCCTGCCCTGCAGCCCCTGACTGATGGCACCAAAACATGCAGGTGCTTGACTCCACCTTCCAGCAAGAAGCGTGACGCCTCCTGCCTTCTGGAGTCACAGGCTGGTGGCTTAGTCTCCATCCAGGTGTCACCTGACTGGACAAACCTTGCACAAAAAACGCACAACTTCCAGGCCAGAGTGAGGCCAGGTGGGAGGGATCAGTCCTTCTCAGTGCGCCCCAGGGCTCCGGGAACAGCCTCAGCGCCCTCGACTGCGATCTGAGGCATCACAGCAGGCAGCCTGGCGGCCTCCTCGAGTGGCTCGTCAAAGCTCACCTCCTGCACAGCCTCCTGCTTCTTGAAAGAGTCACGGCGCTCAGACAGGTGCAACCTCCGCATGACTACCAGCTCCGAGTCTGGCCCGCGGTTGCGACGCCCCAGCTCCCCCTCCAGCCGCTCACCTGCACCCAGTTTCTCCGCCGACTGGCCCCGGCGCAACCTTGGGGACCGGGTGGGCGCGGGCAGGGGTGAGGGTGAGTGGGGTGGAGGTGCAGGCACAGGCGGGCAAGCCAGTGGGGAGGGTGGGATGCTGCTGGTAGACTTGCGGCGGCCGGACTTGGGACGGGGTGGCCCGAGCTTGGCGGCCAGGCCATGAAGGGAGCTGGGGCGGGTGTGGCCAGCAGTGGCTGGAGAGGCAGGGCTGCTGGAGCTTGGAGATGCATTGGGTGGAGACGCGGTGTCTGTGGATGACAGGTAAAGGTCAGGCCATGGCCCTCAAGTCCCTACCCTGGAGGTGGGGCCCTGGAACTGACTGTACCTGCCAAAGCTCACGTTGTTTCATGTGACCATTTATGCCTGCTTTTCCCGCCTCTTGTTTGCACAGGCTGTTCCCTTGGCTTAGATCTGGTGAACAATTCCTACCATGCATCAAAGCCCTAGTTCTTTCTTATTAATTCACTAGAGGCCCGGTGCACAAATTTGTGCACGGGTGGGGTCCCTCTGGGTGGCCTGCAGGGATCGGGCTGAAACCCGCAGTCCAATGCTGCCTGCAGCTCCTACCTGCTGCTCCTGCTCATCCAGGCCCCACTGTGCCTGCTGTGGGTTCGTGCCCAATCAGTCAGATCTATAGGGAGAGGCTCGCGCTGCTGCAGCAGCAGCAGCACTCACCAGCCCTGCATCTGGCGCCCTTCTGAGGGGAGTGGCCTATGGGATCGGCTGAAACCAGCTCTCGGACATCCCCCGAGGGATCCCAGATTGTGAGAGGGTGAAGGCCAGGCTGAGGGACCCCATCGGTGCATGATCGGGCCCGGGAGGGACCACGTGAGGACTCCAGGGCATGTCCAGCCCATCTCGCTCAGTCCCTGACTGGCCAGACCCCAGCAGCAAGCTAACCTACTGGTCAGAGCATCTGCCCCCTGGTGGCCAGTGCAACTGGTCGACCGGTTGACTGTCTGCCCCGTGGTGGTCAGTGCATGTCATAGCGAGCGGTTGAGCAGCCTTAGAATATCATTAGCATATTACGCCTTGATTGGTTGTTTAGTTGTTCTGCCGTTCGGTCTATTTGCATATTACCCTTTTATTATATAGGATTTTTTTTTTTTGAGAGAGAGAGAAACATTGATGTGAGACTAAAACATCAATTAGCTCCCTCCTACATGCCCCCTACCAGGGATTGAGCCTGCAACCCAGGCATGTGCCCTGACTGGGAATTGAACTGGCAATCTTTCAGTGCACCAAACAACATCCAACCAACTGAGCCACACCAGCCAGGGCCAAAGCCCTAGCTCTTATTCACCCACTTCTCATCTGATGACTCATTACTCACTGGGCTAAAGATACCCATTCACAGTCCATCTGTCCACTGGTCCCCAGAGTTATCCAACAAGGGCCCTCCTCCTTGCCGGTGCTCACCTCTCCACTCCCAGGCCTCAGCCCCAGGGGATGCTTGGTCTTAGGAAGGCAGAGATGACACAGATAACCCCTGCCCTACGAGGTCGGGGGGGGGCAGAGGGAGAGAAGTAGTAGGGGCTCCCAGGGGGCAAGGAGGGCTTCCTGGAGGAGTAGATCTGTGGTCCTCCAGGAGGCCTTCCCGGCCTCTCCTCAGCCTCTCTCAGAGCTGGGGGCCCTCACCATCCTTTCCCACACTAAAACGAGCTTTCCATGCCCTTTCAGGCTCACATACCCTCTGTGTTTCCCTACTGCCACCAATTTAGCCCAGCTCTTAGCCTGATCCATCCTCCAATGTCCTCTCTTCAGCCTCCCCCAGCTTTCACATCCCTCCAATCTAGTCCCTTTTACTCATGACGTTCCCTCTGCTGAGAACAGTTCCCTGTCCCTGCACCTGTCTCTGCCCACCTCCAGGTTGCCTCTTGGACTCCAGGCAATTGGAAAGGCTCTTCTGATCATGTTTCCTACATCATGTCATTCCATCTTCCCATCTCTGCCTCCTCCCTCCTCCCCAGGTGGTCCTGGGCGCACCCACCTGCCAGGGCATCAGAAGCGGGGCTACGGCAGGGCATAGTGGGGCTGGGGGAAAGGCTGTGGGTGGGTGAGCCTGGGAGGCTCTCGCTGGACGACAAGGAGTGGTGGAGGCCGGACGAGAAGCTGCGGCTTGTGTGCAACACCGACGACTGTTTCGAGATCTTCTTGAAGAGCGACTTCCGCCTGTGGGTGAAAACCCCGGGTGCTCAGGTACCCCTGCCCTCAGCGGGAGCTTCCTGACTGCTACCCCAGTGCCCCCGCCCCCTGCCCCAGCTGACGCAGGCTCCCCCTGCACACTCCCTGGCTCTCACCGGTCCTGCGTCTCACGCCGGCGGCTCCGCTTGCTCCTGCGTGCCATGCGGCCCTTGGCCACGTTCTTCCGGGCCGGGCCCACCTTGATGGACGTGTTCTCCAGGGCTGTGGTCCGAAGGGTGATCTTGTTGCTGCTCTGCAGGAATGATGGCAAGAGGTCTTCTGTGTGCCTCCATCCCATGAGCACCCCCACCCACTCATCTCCTATTCATCCTTCAAAGTCCCAGATCCTATCCAGCCCCATCTCACCTAACGATCTACCATTCACTGGGCCAAAAATACATGCCCACTATCTGTGCCCATCCAATGAGCTGTCCACCCATATGCTGGTCCCAGGAGCTCCTCAACCTGGGGCCTACCTCCTCCCATGTCCTCACCCCCAGGCCTGAGCCCCTGGGACCTCTGTCTGGTGGAGGCAGAGATGGCATAGACCCCACGGGATCGGGAAGGGCTTCCGGGAGGAGGGGCTCTGGGGGTGATGTTAGGAGCCCAAGAAGGAAGCACATTCTAGTCCGAGGGGAGGGCGAGTGCAAGGCCTGGACTTGGGAAGAGCAGTGTGGGTAGAGGGGAGACCCAGGGAGAATCAGCAGCAGAGGCCAAGGGGTGGTGGGGATACTGGGAGCCCTGAGGGAGGACAGCGGTGGGGGTGGCACCTTCAGCAGCAGCTCCACGACGTCCATGTGTACCAGCCCCAGGACCGACTCCCCATTGACGTGGGTGATGAGGTCTCCGGCTCGCAGGCCCGCCTGGTGGGCAGGACTCCCCTCCTCCACGCTCTGGGGGAGACGACAGGGTCAGCAGTCCCACAGCCGGAGACACCAGCAAGCTGCTGCCTCTCACGCTGCCTCAGTTTCCCTGACCTTGTGGAGAAGGGAAGTGCCAAGCCCTGGACTGGGGGGAGGGAGGACAACCCGCCCACTGTGCACTTGCTAGCAGGAGCCATAAGCTTCATGCTCATGAGGGTCTCTGTCTCCCTGTCCAGCTCTGTCCTTCTTGCCCAACCCTCTCCCTATAACTGACAGGGACGGCAAAGGCCCAGGAGGCACCAGCTCTCCGTCCTGGGCCCCCATCCGCACAGACTAGAGAGCGCACCTTGCCAGGGCACAGCCAGCCCCAAACAGAGTCAAGCTGTCCTCACCCACCCCCAAGGCAACTCACCCAGACAACATGGTGCACAGTGTAGACATCACTGTCGCCCATGTAGACACGGATGGCCCGCAGGCTGAAGCCGTACTTCTTGCCAGAGCAGTGGATGACAATGGGGGGCCGCAGGCTGCCACACACAGGGGACGGGTCCCGGCTGGGAGAGGAGTCACGAGATGACGGGTTCGAGGACAGTGAGCGTGGGGATAGGGGGCTCATAAGGGGGCCGCCGCTGCCATCATCTGCAGGGACGAGGGTTAGGGTGTGGGTCACTCCCTCCTGGCACCCCCTAAGGGAGCCTTCCCCTCCCACCACGCTGACCACTCCGGCTGCTTCACTGCTGCTCCAATGTCCCAATGCCAGGCCTTTGCACATGCAGTGCCCTCTGCTAGGAAGGCCAGTCTCTCGGGTCTTCCTGGTTCTAACCCCCTCTCCTGGGGTGCAGGCCAAACATCACCCTGAAGGACCCTCCAGCTCCTGACACCCCAGCCAGAGAAGACCCGACCCCATGATTAAAATGGAGATAGACAGACAAGCAAAGACAAGGCAGGGCCATGGACATTACCGGCTGTGATGATCAGCGACAGGGCGGACACTGAGGCTGACTTGGGCATGCAGCCCCCGCTGGAGGCAGCCCTGGACTTCTCAGGGGCCAGGTCTTTAGGGCCCCTGAGGCGGTGGCCCCGGCTGGCGTCCAGGGCCCGTGGCGTGGAGTGTCGGGCACCAGTGCTGTTGCTCCGTAGGCGCGTCTGACCGAGGGCGGTGGGGTCGGCTGGGAGGTTAGCAGGGTGAGAGGGTCAAGGCCGACAGACGTGGACACGGTGCAGCCTCCTGGCTTTTGCTCAGGCAGTTCCCTCTCCCTGTGCACCTTCCTGCATTCCTCTCCCTAGAAAGCTCCACTCTTCAAGCTCCCCCTTCCCGGAAGCCTCTCCCCCACTCATCTGACCCCAGCTCCCCCTCTTGGAGCTCCCTAGCCCCGTTCCTCTCTCCAGTTCCGTCCTGACCCAGGGAAGCGAGAGGCTCCTTGGGGGCCAAGCTGAGGCCCAAGGCTTCTCCAGAACCTTGGCCTCTCCTATCTTAAATGTTCTCTGAAGAACATCTCACCTTTCGAAACCCATCTCAAATAGTCCTTCCTCTGGGAAACATTCCATGATACCTCTCCTTCCACCCCAGGCCCCACCTACCAGAGAGGCTCGAGGGCTTGGGCACCCCTGGGGTGGCTGCTGGGGGCAGATCCGGCTCCCCCAGGATGAAGACAGGCCTCTTGGGGCCCACAGGGCCTGGGCCGGCTCCCTCGTCCTCCGACGAGAAGGCGAACTTGGGCATCGTATCGAGGCTGATGGTGCTCATGAGAGACGGGCTGGGTCCCCGCTCAGGCTGGGAAGAGGATGAGTAGCAGGAAGAACCCGAGGATGTCCAAGACCTCAGCCTGAGCAGGACAGAGTCCAAGTCACACCTGTCAGATGCCCTCGCCCCAGGACACCCGGGCACCCCCAGCCGTCACATCTTACTAGTAACTCTTAGCCCAGAGCCAGGGGCAGTTGTAAATACAGGGTGAGTTCCCTTTGCCTGCTCCATTCTCTGTGTTGACCTAGAGAACTCCTATTCGTCTTCTAAAACCCAGTTTCCAATGCCCATCCTCCAGCAGACATTGGTTATTTCTGCTGAGTCTGGACTTTGAATAATGAAAGGTGTTCTGGGCCGAGGGAACGGTGCAAGCAAAGCCTAGCAGCGGACGGTGCTACATGTTCAGTGTGTTAGGAATGCAGAGCCAAGGGCAGTGACGACAGGAGCCAGGTCGGCAGAAGTCTGACAGGTTGGCCAATATGTTTGACCCTTTTCAACGGGGCCACAAGGAAGCTCTTTCCAATGTTAGATTTTGTGGCTCCGCCTCCCATAAGGCTTGGAGGCTGGATGTGCTTATACGGCCCAGCCCACCTACCGGACCTCAGTGCTCAGCTGGCGGCCACACTCCCCTTCGCCACGTTCCCACCCTTCCTCCCGGTCCTCACTGAAACTCCGCTCAGTGAAGGGGAGGGTGGGCTGCACGGCCAGGAACTCCGAGCTGCTGTAGACCTGGGAAGTAATAAATAGCAACAATGGAAACGGAGGCAGGAGCCGCATCCGCTTTCTACACGCCCCGTGCTTCCCTGTGATTCACTTTATTGGATCCTTACTCAGCATGTCCCTAAAGATAGCAGAATCTGGAGCCCCCTGTACCAGTGAGAAACTGAGCTCAGAGGGACCAGACACCAAGGGGGCCACAGCTGGGGCTTCTGCTGATGATCAGGACAACCTGGCCGGGGCCCAGGCCCACAAGAAGCGCAGAGGAGTTTTTGAGCAAATTATAAACAAAGGAAGGAACTTAAGTTAAGCTTGTGACATTGTAAAATGACACGCAGCCCGGCCGGCGTGGCTCAGTGGTAGAGCGCCGACCTATGACCCAGGAGGTCATGGTTCGATTCCCGTCAGGGCCCATGCCCAGGTTGTGGGCTTGGTTCCCAGTACGGGGTGTGCAGGAGGCAGCTGATCAATGATTCTCTCTCTTTCTCCCTCTCCCTTCCTCTCTGAAACCAATATATATATGCATACATATTTTTAAATGAATAAATAAAATGATACCCAGCATAGGAGCCCTAGTTACAATATCCAAAAAGTAGAAACAACCCAAATGTCCATCGGCTGATGAAGTAAAAGTACCTTGTGGTCCATCTACATGATGGAATGTTACTCAGCCACGGAAGGACTGAAGCACTGACACGTGCTACCACGTGGGTAAGCCTTGGACACATCATGCTGAGTGTGAGAGAAGCCAGACACAGAAGCCCATATGTGAGTCCATCTATATGGATTGTCCAGAAGAGGCAAATCCACAGACAGGAAGCAGACTGGTGGTTGTGAGGGGCTGGAAGGGTGGGCGTAGGGAGTGATTGCTAATGGGGACGGGGCTTCCTTTGGGGTAATGGAAATGTTCTGGAACTAGATTGAGTTGATGATTGCACAGTATTGTACAGGTGCTAAATGTCAGTGAATTGTACACTCTAAAATGGATAAAATGGTATATTTTTATGCTGTATTTTACCATAATAAAAAAAATGCAAACAAACAAACATCTTGCAATGTTTCCTGAGCACTAGCTATGTCCGGGGCCCGGGCCTCACCTTGCTGAACCGGTGAGAGCAGGACGAGAACTGGGGGATCTCCGTGGATGACTCCTCATCGTTGGTTTCATCGTCCTCAGAGCCCAGGTGCCGGTACCGTTCTGAGCGCGCTGCGGAGGGAGAGGCACACACAGCCCACGTGAAGGGGCTGTGAGGGTCGCGGGGTGTGTGGAGAGGGTGCGGCAGGGGCACCACTATGGCAAAGGCTTCCAAGTGGGGCTACGCCCTGTGTGTTTAGGGACAAGTGGCTGGGCAGCAGAGTGCATATCGGGGAGTCCCTCCGAGCTGTGTCCATGAAAGCGGTGGGACCGCTGGTGGGAACTCTTGTGTCCATGTGTTAGTGTCTTCACCCTTGAGATAGGTCACCCAGAATTAGGAAAATGGTGCACCTCCAATGTAAAGTATGTTCCTTGTCTTACAGAGGAAGAGACAGACACTCAGAGAGGACCTCTGACATGCCCGAGATCACACAGCACGTTCTGAAGAGGCGCTGGAAACCAAGGGCATTGGCTGTGTTTGGCCGAAGCCCTGAGTGGCCAAGCCCTCTACAGCAGCTGGGCAAGGTGCCCCGCCCTGTGCGACAGACTGGGTTCCGTGCTGGAAGGCCGAACCTGCTGCAAGACCCCGGGCAAGGATCTTACTGTCCTCTCCACAACGTGAGGGGGTGCAGCACCTCCTGAACCCAGAACAGGAACCAGCTGGCAGACCTGCCTCAGCTTCTCGGGAAGTTCAGGAAGTTGGAAGCTCTAGGCCCAGGGTGAGGGGGCAAGCACACACCCCTCTCCGCTCCTGGGGCTTGTACTCACTGTCGAAGTAGCTGGTGTCGTCCTCGGCTTCCAGCTGTGGCACGAACTCGGCCTTGTGGCGCAGAAGCCCTGCCCAGTCCAATGTCCAGAAGAAGGGGTGCTGCTTGACCTCATGGGTGCCACCTGCAGACATGCCAGCTGAGCACTGCGGGCCGTACCCCAGACTTCCCAACACAGAACCAGAAAGATGGGGGCGGGGGGGGCGGGGGAGCCGGCCACCGTTTAAGAGCCCGGAGCGGAAGAGCTGGGGCTTGAACCCAGGCCCGGCTCTTCCTTCTGGTGGATTCTGGGATCCCACCACCTGTAGAAGCCCCAGGGCCTTAGAAGGGCTTCCTTCCTGGGCCGTTCCCACGTTGCTGCTCCCTGGAGTAGAGCTGACTGCGTGAAGGCTTCCTGTTCCCCAGCCTCAGCCCCACTGTCCTCTCCCATGGCCAAGCTTCATTATGAACATGACCCCCATGGCCATGTTAATGGGTGGCTGCATACGTCTCAAATGGTTCCTTAACCATCCACTAGGTGACTGTGGGAGCCACTGGGCTGGGCCATTGAGGACCTTAGGGCACGGCCCCTGGTGATCTTACAGGCTCACATACTCACTCAGCCTCAGAGTTCTCCCCCTGCACCGGAACCAGCCACCTGCTATTCCTTCAAGGTCTTGTGCTAATTCTTGGCAAACGCCTATGCGTCCTTCAAAACCCCAGCTCCCAGCCCCTCTCCTCCATGCAGCCCGTCAAGTAGTTCTTACTGACCCCAGCCTCCACACATACCAGTGCCAAGACGGTCCAGGGGGCTCTGCCGAAGGAGCTTGGTGATGAGGTCCTGGGCGTCAGCTGGAAGGGCCTCCTCCCCCTCCGGCCACATGATCTCATCTAAAATAGGGGGAGGGAGGGAGGGAGGGGGCTGGGATGGTGCTGCCTCCAGGCCATTAGCCTCCTCTGCTCCTTCAACACAGCAGGCTTGGTCCCGCCGCCCAGCCTTTGCTCTGGCTGTGCTGTCTGTCCAGAGCACCTTCCCATCTTCTACGTGCGTAGCTCCCTCTCACCTTCAGGTGTTTGCTCACAGGTCATCTCTGAGGCCCCCACAGCTCTCTACTTAATGCAGCGCCCCCAGCACCTTGGCCCCTCTCCGTTCTGCGTTCTCCTTCTTGGCATTTTTGGCATCTAATTGCTCCATAATTTGCTTATTTATCTTGCTAACTGTCCATCTTGCCTACCAGACAGTGAGTGCCAAAGGGCTGTCCATAGTGTCCTCAGCTGTGTCCCCAGTGCCCAGCTGGGGCCAGGCATACCACAGGTGCATGGCCCACACCTGGGGCGGCCCCCTCTCTCATACAGGTGGGCAAACTGCTGCCCTGAGCCCCAGAGACTCAAACCCGTGGCCCCCCGGGGGTGGGGGAGGAGAACGTACCACTGACCACCTGGCCAAAGAGTTCCTCGGGGGTATCTCCAAAGAAAGGCACACAGCCCACCAGGAACTCATAGAGGACAACGCCCATGGCCCACCAGTCCACCGGCTTGCCGTAGCCCTGGCGGAAGATCACTTCAGGTGCGATGTACTCGGGCGTCCCGCACACCTGGGATAGGACAGGCAGAACGGGGAAACTGAGGACGGCCCCCAGCCCGAGAGAAACCCCGGAAGAGACAGGGAGGCCGGGGCCAGGCTGGGAGTAAGGGGGGGTAGAAGTCCAGGGGGCAGTTCATTTTCTCCTTTTTTACAGCCAAGTCTCGCCATGTCCTGGGGTCAGGCTCCAGACGGAGGGGGCCCAACACGCAGGGGCGCCCGCCCACCCACCTGCTTGTCCATGAACTCCCTGGTGTCCTTCTCAATGTGGCCCTCGTAGAGGTTGGTGGCCATGCTCATGAGCCCGATCTTGGACAGGCCGAAGTCGGTCAGCTTGATGTGGCCCAGCGAGGTGATCAGCAGGCTGCGGGTGGGCAGGCGGAAGGCTCAGGGCTAGGGGCCCAGCGGCCCTTGAACTTGGCTCCACCCAGGATGGGCCAGAGCCCCCCAGGGGATTAAGAAATCCTTCCAGTGCACAGCCACATCATCACAAGAACCAACGGGTCTCAGGCAGTATTACAAATCTGGCAAAAGTCTCTGTGCACCTATTGGGTACCTTTGGTGTTGCTATTGAGCACCTACTGTATACTTTGCTGTGCAAAACTAAATTTCCTGGGAATCACAGCATCTTCCAACTGTGTGTTACACCATCTCCTGAACACCTGCTTGGGTGGGGGGGAGGGGTATCTAGTGTATTTTTGTGCACACATCCATTACTGTAACAAATTAAACACTTTGCAAGCACCTATTTTTTACATTCCATGTTGAAAATGGAGCCCGGCTAGTGCAGCTCAGTGGTTGAGCATCGACCTATGAACTAGGAGGTCACAGTTCAATTCCCAGTCAGGGCACATGCCTGGGTTTCTGGCTCGATCCCCTGTGTGGGGGTGGGGGTGTGTGTGCAGGAAGCAGCCAATCCATGATTCTCTCTCATTATAGATGTTTTCTATCTCTCCCTCTCCCTTTCTCTCTAAAATCAATAAAAGTATATTTTTAAAAAGAGAAAAGAAAATTGAATATATCTCAAGGACCCGATATACACAAAATATATCTGTGCACCTCATGAGTGGACTCATTTTTTATTTTTATTTTTTAAAAATATATTTTATTGATTTTTTACCTGGGACCCCTCAGTCCGCAGGCCGACACTCTATCCACTGAGCCAAACTGGTCAGGGCTGGACCCATTTTTTAAAAACTTGCACATCTAGCCCTGGCTGGGTGGCTCAGTTGGTTTAAGTGTCATCCTGTACACCAAGCATGTCAAACTTGCCACCCACAATGAATATTTTTGCAGCCCAGACAATATAATGGTATGTAAGAAACGTTTTAATAAAAATTTCGTAACTTAATTTTTATAATACTGTTATAATTATTAATAACAAACTACAATGTTCGCTAATGACTGATTACTATAATCGTGTTGCATTCATTTCCCTTACGCGCCTTACATGCAGGCGCACCATTTCTCTCCACTAACACCAGCAGTGAATATTTTAGCAGCCAATTGCAACGTCATTAGTCTTGTACTGACTTGTTTGGTGTGCGCAACAGGAAATATTTCGCTTTCGGAGAACAAGAAAAATAGGTTTGTGTTATGCTTATTTTTTGTGTGTGTGTGTGTTATGCTTATTAATTTGTGCAGTTATTCAGTGTCTGGTAAGTTAATGTTCAAGAAAAAAAATTAATTTTTATTAAAATGTTCTATTATTTTATGTAACGATTACTCATTTATTTCAGCCCTTTGTATTCAGCATGTCTCTATCGAAATAAACCTGCATTTCTATGAAAATTGAAGCTTTTGTTTTTCTGTGGCCCACGTAAACTTCAACCTTGTTTATTTGGCCCGTGTTAGCCTTTGACATGCTTGCTGTATACCAAAAGGCTGTGGTTTCGATCTCCAGTCAGGGCGCATACGGGAGGCAACCAATGTATGTTTCTCTCTTACCTCGATCTTTCTCTCTCTCTCCCTCTTGCTCTCTCTCCTTTCCTCTCTCTATAAAAATAAAAAAAATAAAAAAAAATCAATAAGACATATTCTTGGGTAAGGATGAAAAAAAAACCACAAACTTGTACACCTACCATGTATACTGCTATTTGTTTTCTTGCTTAAATATAGAAATTATTTACTAAATGATCGAATCACATGCTCCATCTTTATAGTCACATTTTCATGTACCTCCTAGAAGCCTCTCCTGCTTAAAAATAAATTTCTGTAGAACTCACTGTATATAGCCAAGTTGTTGGATGAGCCATCTATTTGGCACCACTTGTGTACCTCAACTCTGTAAAAAAACAATTCTGTGCGCTTATTTTATGTATTCACTGTTTTTTAAAAATAAGATTGTTTCTTGAGCAACCACTGTGTGCAACAGCTGCATAAAAAACACTTTGGCCAAAACCAGTTTGGCTCGGTGGATAGAGCGTCGGCCTGCGAACTGAAGGGTCCCAGGTTCGATTCCGGTCAAGGGCATATACCTTGGTTGCCGGCACATCCCCAGTAGGAGGTGTGCAGGAGGCAGCTGGTCGATGTTTCTCTCTCACTGATGTTTCTAACTCTCTATCCCTCTCCCTTCCTCTCTGTAAAAAAAAATCAATAAAAAAAAATATATAAAAAAACCAAAAACAAAAAAAACACACAAAAAACACTTTGGTGCCCTAACCGGTTTGGCTCAGTGGATAGAGCATCGGCCTGCGGACTTGAAGGGTCCCAGGTTCAATTCCGGTCAAGGGCATGCACCTTGGTTGCGGGCACATCCCCAGTAGGGAGTGTGCAGGAGGCAGCTGATCGATGTTTCTCTCTCATCGATGTTT